GGTGAAGAGATGAGTGCAGATTGGAATGGGTGGAGAAAGGTGCCAGGAGCGTTGTGTGACAGAAGAGTGGCAGCAAGAATCTAAGGAAAGGTGTACAAGACAGTAGTGAGACCAGCTATGCTGTATCGGTTAGAGACTAGGATTAGGAATGAGCACATCAAAGGGACAGCTGAGGTCAGCTATTTTGGGGACAGGGTCAGAGAGGCCGGATTGAGATGGTTTGGACATGTGCAGAGAAGGGATATTGGTAGAAGCAAATACCGTGCAGACAGAGACAGGGAGAACAGAAGTGGCCACGAGCAAACCTGACATCTGCATTCAAATCTGTATGTTTCATACATATACAGCACCCTGATGAAATGTTAGAATTTGTACATTTAATCATTTTGTCTGCCTGTCTGTCACCCCCTGGTGAGGGGGAGGACTCGGTGTACAAACGCAGGTGCTAGTGAATAAGTTTCTTTATTACAAGCATAAGCAGGTAAGAGAACAAAGTCAGTGACTATATGTGTGGTCCAAACCAGGGTTGAGCAGTGGAAACTGAGAAGACCAGGATGAGCAGCAGTAACCAGAAGACGGGGAGATGTACTGGCAGCAGGTGAGATGACAGGAGGGACACAGGAACCAGAGGATAGGGCAGGTGTGCAGAGTAGCTGTCAGCATCGGAGTAAACAGAGTAGCTGTCACTAGTGATGTTCCCTCTGATACCAAGGCTCCGAAGCTTGCTTCAAACTCAGAAGGATATTTTTCTGAAGCACTGTGCCGGAGCTTGCTTCAAATCAGGAAAAACCACGACTGATGACGTTCGAACCACTTCTGCTTCATTCAGATTGAATCAGCTGACTGGTTTGGTTCGATAGCCGGAGCTTTGAAATGTTGGCGCGATACAAATGTATTTGAGATGGGAATACGATGGACGAAACAGCGCTCTGTCCTACCTCTTGTCAACACATTTTGGATTGCCTTGCTATGGAGCTATCATGGAAACAGTCAACAAGTGTGGGAACATTTTGAATTGGTGCCACCGAATAAGGTAAATTATATTTCCAAGATGTAAGCCTTATTTTCAAGTCTGTTATTCATAAACTGGATGTCCAAGTTTACGGTCCCCTCCGAATAAACACAAGAAGAATAAATCACACACAGATCTCATTGCGATTTCATAGGTGCAGTGTTTGCACTGTCCTCAGCAGCTGATGTATACCAATAACAAGTCATCAATGCCTGTTAATGCTACCAGGATGGCATGCCCATCGGGTAAGTGAGTGTAATGTAGTGTGTGTGTGTGTGCTGCCAGCACAGCGGAGAGATGTGTGTACGCAGTCAGCGACAGAGCCATTCTGTCACACAAGCTAAACACAGTTTATACTTATAACACTTGGCTTTCACAATCCAGCAAACACTGATGCAGCTGTGTGCCGCTTGAAGTCAGAGTATGCTGCTTTAATTCAAAATGCACCTCAAGACGACCGACATATTATCAACATCATCAACACCGGGACAGCCAGAACCTGCTGTGGCTTCCACGGGTACACCATTAATCACATTTTTAGTTATATATTTATTTGTATTTAATTAAATGCTTTATAAATGTCCTGCAATGTTTTATTTTCAGGCAATGACCTGTAGAAGCTTCTTGACAAAGATGCAGAAGAAGACAGAAAATCTCAGAACGCTACTACAGATTTCATTGTGGAGGTTCAGCAATATCTGTCTGCTCCTCCTCTGGACAGATCAAAGGACCCCTTAGGTTACTGGTCAAGGCACAAATCCCTGTACCCACACCTGTTCTCTAGGTGTGTGTGTGTGTGTGTGTCTGTGTGTGTGTGTCTGTGTGTCTGTGTGTGAGACAATAAGCTGACGTATCACCTCATTCAAATTGTAAGACATATAAGCAAGGAGAATGACTGTGTTAGAAAATAACCAGGGCTCAGTAATGCACAATAATCAATACAGCTGTAATCAAGTAAGATAAAGTTATGAAAGGTAACTAAAGGGAACTAAAGGCATGAGAGGTAACTAAAACTGATAAAGTAACTAGAGTCTATAAGACTCAAATCTTACAGAAGAAAAACAGACACATGTAAAATGAGGTTAGATTTCAGCTTTAAGTAATTTCACTTTGAATGGAAAGGTAGACAACATATAAATATTGATTATAAAAAAAGAGGGACCCCACCCACCTCCAGCATGGACTGTTTATTCCACTAGCCTCTGGAGGCTCAGGAGTGTGAAATGCAGGACCTCTACACTGAAAAACTCTCTTTCTGTCTGTCATCAGACTCCTGAACAGTTGACAGGAGCTATTACCAGAAAATATGCCATGTAATGACGACCTGTACTGTTACATTCTCAGTTTGCACATGCATAATTGCACATTGATACTACTGTACATGCAGCATACACTGTCTTATCATATTTTTATATATTGTTATGTCTGCATTTGCTGTTTAAAGTGCTTTAGATCTTGT